TGTTGCTTTCCCTTTAGGTGCTAGTTTTATAGTTTGTTCGAGTTCAGTTATAGTAATAGGAGTGAGAAGGTTATCATAAATAGTTTTCTGTATATTGTTTAGCAGAAGGTAGGTTGATTCCTATTTTTTCCAAAGGATGTTGTTAGGATGGTTGTTTTTGGTCCATGATTTGAAGTGTAAATGCACTGCTTCTTTGATTTTGCCTTCGTTGGTGATTACCTCATCTGGCAGAACAATCTTCTCAAAACTGATCGGTTTGACTCTTCTTTGTAGGATGCTATCTATCATACGACTAGTATTGTCTTTAAAGTCTGAATATCTATGGTTGATATAGAATTTAATTCGTTCGCTTTGCTCCTGCCTTTTTTTATAATTGCGTGCTTGCCAAATAATATGTTTATGTTGTTTAACTTGGCTAATGGTGCTATTAAGAGAAGATGTGAGTTGTTCTTGTATTATCAATAAGATGTTGATATCTGCTAAGGTAGCCGCTTTAAGCAGGTGTTGGTTTGCCTTTGGCAAGTCAATTGCCAAGTTATTTGAGAAGCAATTTAGGCACTTATTAATATTTTTCAGAGCTAAGTGTAGTTTGGTTGCTTTTAGTGATAAAGCATAGAAGGGTTTTAGAGCAGTGAAGGTGTGTAAGATGTGTTTGTTCATTGCTTCCTTAACTTTTGCTGTCCAAGAGTTCCAAGCTCTATTAATGTTATCTTTGTTTATATTTGAGCCAAGAGTAGGTTGTTGGTTGAAGAGGCTATTTATTGATTATTCGAAGTTATCCTAGTCTGCTAATATCATTTTTTCATACAAATATATTTTTCGCTTTTTCTTTTTGTTTCTTGGACATTTTTGTGGTGAGAAGTTTGTGTGCTATACTGTATGTAGGATGCGGTGATCGCTTTCTGAAATGTTTGAAGCGTTAATTAGCTGAGAGATATCAAAAGCCAGAAGTATATCTGAGAAATCCAGAAGTCATCTATTTGGCTAGCTGTGGTTGGACCTTGCCAAGTTGGTGCTTGGATGCTGTGGAATGTTAGAAGGCTGGTCAGGTTAGCTGCATTTAGGTTGGTGAAGATAGGAAGTCGTTTGTCTCGAAGTTGGTTAGCGTTAAAGTCTCCTAGAATTATGAGATTCTAGTTTTTAGCTCTGGCCTCTGTGGTCCAATTGAGTAGCTGGGACTGAGTTTGTTTCAGAAGAGAGGGGTGGTTTGACAGAAAGTAGGTTGAGATAATCTGAGACTTGTTGCCATTTGGAAAATAGAAATCAATGCAAATTGCTGTTCTAGGAAAGGTATGAATTCTATGAATATATGGTTGCAGTTGGTTGCATATCATTAGGGCTGTTCCTAAGCTGGTTTCTCGTTGGTTTGGCTTATAGGGCAAGAAGTTTGAGGTAAATATTTTGTAAAATGGGTTGGTTAGCGATCTTGTTGCTGAGTCTTTTAGCTTTGTTTCAGTGAGAGAGATTATATGAAGATTTGTTTCTAAGCAATATTCAACTCAAGTTTGTACTTTTAAAGGATCATTAAACCCTCTAATATTGTGAGTAGCTAAGTTAATTTTTTTGTGTATATCAAGTTCTAGTTGTTTAGATGTATTCACGTTTTCTGCAGAAAAACAAAGTGATTACTAGCCTAGGCCTGACCGCACCCTACTTAGTAGAAGATGGAATAGATCAAGGAGAGACAATCTCTCCCCTATTGTGGAAAATCTACTATGATCTACTAATAACGAAAATACATAAAAAGCATCAGGGATCCTATAGTAAAATAGCTTCACATCAGCCAAAAGAAATCCATGCCTCAGTAATGGCATACATGGACGACTCTCTATGGATTGCACCAAACAAAGAATCACTTACCAAAATTCTTAATACTGCCTCCTTATTCTATAGATTTGACAGCATAAAGGTTAATCCACAAAAGTCTACTCTGGTAACAAACTCAACAGATCAGGACAAAACTATAACTTTCGATAATAAACAACTATCTGCAATCACAAATGGAATACCTTTTAAATATCTAGGAGCATGGTTTTCAACAAATAGAAAGCCAACACTAGTACAAAAAGAAATTATAGCTAAGGCAGTAATTAATCTAAAAAAAACTACAATTCGCTCATATAACAGAAAAACAAGCAATCTATATAATTAATAGCATCATAACTTTTTGCCTTCTATACTGACTATATTCTTCTTTCCTTTTAGCCTCACAAACAAACACCCTCAACAAGACCTGTATACAACTAGTCAAAAACAAAGCAAAACTAGCTCAAGGAGTTCCTAACTCTTTCTTATTCAACCCAGACATCTATGCACTAAACAAGTTAGCTCAAGCCCAGCTCTCATCATTGGTTCTGATGCTTCAAAAAAACCTAAACCACTTCAGCTTTGACTCATCCTTTTTAAAGCTACGACTTCAACAACTACAAGATGCTGCAAATACCAACATCTCTATCCTTTCACAACTCCTGGTCTTTCCAACGATACAAATCATATACAAACCTATCAAATGATATTGGCTTTGCATACACTTGAATTGCAAACCTCACGCAATGGAGACAACTGGCCTCTTCCGAAAGAATTTATTGGTACTCCAATAAACCAGATTCTTCTAAACCATCCTAGGGCTTTATACCTTAAAGAGAAACTAAACAAACACAATGTTTTTAGTATAGAACAATTCTTAAACACAACTAGCACTGAACTTTTAGAGTGGAATAATTTTCATCACAATATTAAGAAGATACCTAGAGGCCGATGCCCACGTTGGTTTTATATAGTTTAGGATCTAATAACAAGCTCTACAAATCCTTCATCAGTAGCTTTACAGCTAAATCCTTATACTCTAACTACTGTAATTGGACTCACAACAAAAAGGGCTGGATGATTACAAACAAACTAGTTATTGGAAGAATATACAACTCATTGAATGAAACGCTTAAAACTCAACATTACATCTTACAACCAGATAATACAATAATTGCTTGCCAGGGCTGTAGTCTTAAAAACCATTACTACCGGGATAAATACTGCTACTTCAACGCAACAAAGCCTTTCTACAACCTACAAGTAGATTGTAAGAAAAGGACCCACATCGATTTAAATGATTTCAAAAAAGCATTAGTTCTTAATTCCGCCTATATACCTTTACTGAGTAATATAACAACACTTCCAGCTCTGGCTAAACCTCTCTGCGCTTTTACAAATCCTCCTATTGTGCTCTGGGACACACTTACAAAAACAAATTTTAAGGCAAAAACCTTAACACTTACTATGACAAGTATCCGCCAGACGATAGAAAACAATCAGCTTATTGTAGCAAAATGCCACTTCCAACACAGTCATGCTCCATTTGGCTGTTATACCAACTTGTAGCCATTATATATACATATACTACTTACTTTGTTGAATTTTGTGCTTACAACTACAAACCCAAGAACCTCCATTAAGGTCATCACAAACAACCTCTCTTTTGCCAACTTGATCAACCTTACACACTTGGTTTTGCTATACAACTACTCTATATTGGATAAACAACAACATGTTTACTTGCTCCTGATACTAAAAACCTTAATCAATGACTGAGAAATTACAGTCTTATTTGATAAAGATACTAAAATCCAAGAGACCATAGATATGATTTTCTCTCTAAACTCTGTGCTACAGCAGTTTCTATACAACCGTTTCACTCCAAGACTCCTTAACAACCCCTGTACCTATCTGCTAAACAACAATACAACAAAATATAACAAAAGAAATAGAAGAAGCCCTAAAACTACTCCAAAAATCAACAATCACTGA